TGTCACATAACACAACATTCTTATTTAATGAAATTAATGTTTAAAAGGCTTAAAAAAATTTTTTATTATTAAATAGTGATAATAAGATACCATAAAATAAGTTAATGTATCTTAAAAATATATATAACAAATGACAAAAACATTGTGAAAAATTGGTGTTTGTGTAATGGTGCAGAAAATACTCTACATAATATAAGCCTTAAAAAAATTAGTTTTTTTTTATTTAACAGTGAATTAAATTAAATTATTAAATAATTAAATTAAATTATTTAACAGTGACTTAAATGTTTAACATTACTTTTCATCTTCTAATGAATCAATTAAGTTATTTAAAAAAAAATCTGCCAAAAATGTTCATTTTATTCTTATATATGTGGATATCACATTTATTTTTGAAGCTCCCACTTATAAAAACTAATAAACATACAGAAAGAGTCACAGCATAGTAAGTGTCTTTATCTTGAATTAAAAAGTAAGAAAAAAAAGAGAGCACAATATTTTCACTTTTCTGAACATTTTGTTCTTCAGGCTTGTAACATATACTTTCTAATATTTCTAAGTTAAAAAAACATTAATCAAATACAGCCTTCTTTATAACTTACCAGAGATCCTGTCAAATTTGTTTGTATAGTTCTTGTTTCTCGCCTGTATTGTCCAACTGACCTTGCTTGTTTTTCTGCCTGTTGTCGTACTTTCTGTTCTACACCTGAATGTGAAAGCTAAAAAACACCAAAGTTTTACTCAGAATTTCATGCTTCTTCCTAGTATAAAAAATAAATGTTTTCATACAAAATACAACAACATAATAGCATATATGTACACTTGGTGTTTTGCATTAGTCTACCACCTCATATCACCACTTAGAGATTTCTATAGAAGGTTGGTTTCATTCTTCAGTGATGCTAGTGTTACATAACCTCACTTACACCTGGTGTATTGTATAAGTTTACTACATCATATCACTTTTTAGGTTTCTATAGAAAATTGGTTTCATTCTTAAGTGATGGTAATATTAGTGATGACGGTGAACCCACTTGAAGTATGTTATTGTATATATACAGTAGAGACAGCTGTCACTAATCCCAGCCAACAATTTTATGACACTGAGTGAATCTCAAGTTTCAATTCATCTTTACATCCACTATTATAATAGTACAAATATGTAGACGACACATTTGATGAATTCACATCAATAGAACATGCACATAGCTTTTTCAACCACCTTAACTCCATACTCCCAAATATTATGTTCATGGGTGAATATAAAAAAAATTATATTTCTGAACCTCAATATCACAAGAACAAATACACAGTTGAAAACAAACATCCACAGAAAAATCACTCATATTGATCGAACATTTCCCACAACTTGGCACACAAAACAAAAACTTAACATACTAAAAAAACCTAATAAACACAGCCACACTATTTTGCTCACTTGACAACCTAAATGATGAAATTTCCTCTAAAAACCTTCAAAAGAATTATACACACAGAAACCACAACCAACAACACAATGGGCAGCCAATCAACAATCTGAAAGTCAATGAAACAACTAATAACAAAACACTACACTGCTGCATATTTTACATCCAAGATATCAGCAACAAAAAAACTAACATTTGGACAAAATTTATAACCAAACAAAACATTTCAGTAAATCTCAAATTGATCCAAAAACTAGGTACCAAAATAAAATCTATATTATGTAAAAAACTACCTTGACAAACATAATACTAACTTTATTTATAAATACAATGCAACAATTGCCATGATTTCTATATTGGAGAAACAAGACAAAAAAATGGATACTAGAATCAATGAACAAAAAAAAACACCCTCCCATATTTTTAACACTATATCTCAAACATGATATAACCATAGAAAACACTAAAATATTAAGCAAAGAAATAAATGTAAATAAATGAAAAATTAAAGAAGCTCTTCTAATACAAAAACTTAACCAAGGAACACTTCTAAATTTATATTCATTATTTCCTTAAGTGTATTCACATATGATACTGAAGTTATTTTATTTGTAATTATACAGTAACTACCAATAATTTTTTAGTTGCCTGAATAATTGTTTGAGCACGTCTGGCATAAAATATTTGTTTAAAAAATTTATTACAGGATGAAAAGTGTTTGAATTTGATTTACAAGTTGCCTGAATACATACTGATCATTAAGCTAGTACAGCTTTTCTTCTATAACATTCAAATTCAATATAAAGAAAAAAATGTAACACTATCTGAATAATTTTAATAATTCTAGAGACTGTAATTGTGCAAGAAACTTGAAAGAATTTACTATGTTTTTAAGTATAATCTAATTCCAATATAACCAATTCAGAAACTACAGATTTGAATGCATGCAGTGTCTTAGGAAAGCTAAATATCTGAAGCACGCTGTAACTAGCCCTAACCTTTCTACTAAGGTTCTCAATGCGTTGAATCAGATTATCCCACCGGTCTGTTAGCTGGCTGATTTTCAGATTCAGTTCTCTGGCTGCAAAGGATCCCCACTCTATCTTGCCAACAATTCTCTGAGTCTGTTCTGTGAGGTAACTCAAGTTCTTGTTTTGTGTCTCCATTTCTGGTTCAAACTCCTAAAAAAAAGGTAACATGTATTCTCAATAATCATTTACATATTGATTTCATCATTAACCACGTTTCCTATTTTATAAAGAAACTGACAAATACATAAATACTATTAATCATATTTCTATTTATTTATTATTAGTACAAGCTAAATTCTTGAAATAGTCAATGTAAGGTATTTTGGATTCAAATAACTGCTTTTTCTCATTTAGTAAGTTTTTAGTTCAACAGTAAAATAAAAATGAAGCATGGTTGTATTTTATAAAGCAAAAACTTCTAAACATCTTAAGATATTAAAAAACATTAAAGAAACATAATAAATTATGCTGAACATTTTAAAACTATAACTAGGAATACATATTCTCATAAAATGAAATCATGTTGAACATATCAAAACTACAAGCAAAAGTCTCAGTTCGAAGTGATTGGAAAAGCTTAAGTTAATCTATCAATTTAAATTATTTCAGGGACTTAAAAAGGTTTATTGTGTCGCATTCTTGGTTTCACTCAGAGCCAAAGCTCTGAGCTATTCATACCACGCACCATGAAAAGTATTGTTGAGCATTTCAGTCGTATTAAGAGCTGCTCAACAATAACATACAGTAAATCTACATTTTTAAGTTAAGTCACATTTTGAAATGTGAATGATAATGTGATTAATTACTAACAACTTAGTGTAGAATATCTTGCTTGTGAAATAAAGTTTGGCATCAACATCATTTATGCTTGTTCTCCCGTCATTTCAAAAGTGATTGTTGAGCTTTCCTGTGTATGCATCTTTTCAAGATGACAAGGAATACATATTCACCATCAAGTTATCAAGAATAAAAAAATAAATTTTTTCTTCACTTGTAACAACATTAATGTTTTCTCAATTAACCCTATGATTAGGGGCACCCCTGTGCTGCACAAGTCACGAAATTTTACTTTGCTACGTTCAAAATTTAATTAAGCAATCCTACGATCAATGTATACCAATGAAATTAGCATTGAAATTTACATTATAGTTCGAATTTTTTATATTATTTAAGTTTTAATTCCTTTATTTCAAATGAAACCTTAAAGAAAAATTCTTAAACTTCAGTTTGCCACACAACTTCACAAATTTTTAACTTTTGGACTTTATAACTTGAATATGACTTGACATAGAGACATTTTTAACACTTCAAACTACTTGGTGCAATTTTCTTAGGGGCCCAATTGTACTGATCAGCTATAGGTATAGAAATTTATAAGTTTTTTTGCATTACTATGTAGGTTTGCAATATGAAGGGCCCGTCGATGCATTGCCACGATTACACCAACGTTACATATGCTACTGTTTACAAATACTAAACCTTCCATATATAGAAAGAATCTAAGTTAATTGTTTTGTTAACACATTCTTCTTTCAAGCTCCTTATGGGGACACTGGGAGAAAGGAGAAATAAATCTATTGGAACTCTTGACGGATGCCATGCCCACTTCCTACAAACAGAGTTGCGATTTCTCGGCCAATTATACTTAGTTGAGCTGGATGTTTGTAACCAACAGAAACATCAAATATTGAAATACAATATCCAAACAGTTATTTTAAAATTGGCACAAAGATTTCCATGGAAAACTTGTCAAATGCTTTTAGTATTGTTGCTGCTTTTGTCCTCGCTAGTACTTTAGCATTGTTTCTCACCTATAAATATGTTAGTTAGATAGACAAATAAATATAATTTAGGTTTTACTTTTATATTTTAGTTGATTATGTGTTAGTTATGCTTTAAAATACATATTAGAAAGGTTTAATAATATTTTAAGAGATAAGCCAAACTGTCTCGGTTTATCAGGCTTAGTGTAGTAGGTAAATGTCCCAATGTTCTGACAAATGCTAAAGTGTTGATTTTGATACCTTAATTTTGCCCGAGAATGCCCATTTACATGTGTTGAGATTAGTAAAAATGCTAAAGGATAGGAAAGTAAAATAAAACATAATTAAATAAACTACACGTGAAAACTTAAAATTAAGAATACAAACGAAAGAAGGTTTTCAAGATTATTGGATGAAAAATTAAAAGATATGTCAATTTTTTTCTATTTTTAATATGAAACAATTCATTGTACAATACGTAGATGATAACACTCGAAATATTCAAAGTGTGAGTGCAAATAACCAGAATACAAAAATAACATATCTTTAGTTAAAATACTAAATTAAAACAATCTCATTCTTTGTATAAATACTTGTAATCTTTAACAAAATCTTACCAATTGTTGTGAAGATATGTTAAGAAAGCTCAGTTATTGTAAGTATTTCTGAACTGTGTATCATTCTCCATGTGAGAATGAGCCAAATAGGTTCAACCCATAGCCTTAGAGTTAAAACATTAGATGTCAGATGAGTATACATGTTTTATTTACATGCACAGTGGCTTCTTATGTGATACTGACATTAAAACTGAAGGTCTGTTACTACCGGTAGTCCTTTAGAATTTTATTTGCTAGTCATATTAAATCCAAGAAAAATAGCAGAGTTAAATGAATGAGAAAAGATGATCTTTTGCAGTATGTCACAAAACTTAATCTTGATGCTCTATTTTATCTGATTTAATACTGGAATACAAAAACAGTTTTACAACAAATGAATTTTAATGAAAAGCTAGAATAACATACAATTATGACCCCACATCTAACAGTATACATTAGTAGTTAAAACTTCAGCAAAGGACTTTTAACTTTTAAACATTCACAAATATATTTAGATTGTAACACTTGAGCAAACAAGTAAACTAGTGCAGTGGTACTAAAGATGGTTGGAATAGAAAAAGGTTTAAAATATAGCTACTGAAGAATATTGTTTTATGTATGTAGTTTAAAAAGTTAATATTGTACAAGGCAGTCCGTTACAAAAAAACGAGGTTGTAAATCACTGTAATAGAACATGATGTAACCAACTGACATACAAAGTTACAGCACCTATGCAAGTACACCCTTGGATTATTTCAATAACTTGTCACTTATTCAAGGCTTTACACCAGTTTTCATAATTTATAAGTAACAATACAATCTTAAGATTTATAAGCAATAAAAAGTCCTATACCTAAATTTTTTAGAACATCCTTTTTTAAAATACATTGTTCTTTCACCAATATCCATTAAAATGATTAATAAATGAAGCAATAATAATAATAAAAAAACAGCACGAGCCATATTAGTTGTATAATGACAGTAAACTCAGATTTTATTGATTAAAAGGAGTTACTTTTCTTAATTTATTTCTGAACAGCTTTCTGTTACCTGAAGTTGCTTCACTGATTCTAATATGCCATAGCTATCTGTAAAATTAGATTTTTCCATTTCTGAAAGTTGAAGTTCTTTAAGATGAAGCCACTGTTTGAAGTGAGCTTCTTCCTCTTCCAGCTGTTTCCATGCAGGAGCAACTACTTGTAGCAGCGATCCTCGATCCTCCACCCATTGACAAACGTGTGCCCAACGTTCACCCAATGCAGCAAGCTGGTCTTCTAAATCTAAATAAGCTATAAGATAAAAACCAAATAAATGTGTGTGTCTTTTAGATGTTTCTTCCTAAAAGAATAAAGTTACATAATTTTGAGAATATTTTAAATTTATATTATTGATAAAAAAAAGAATAAAAGCATGACATGGTTGGACCTTTTCAATTACAAGCAATATGTATGTTTTGAAACTGTAAAAGTTAGTACCAAATTGTAATAACTGATACACTACCAACAAAACCAATATTAAAAAAATTTCATAAAACCATCAGGAAAGGTACATCTAAGCATAACTTCAATGCATCGTTAGGCTAACAATTACTGGTTATTAAAGCATAAACTGAACTGTAATGTACTTGTATCAAACTTTCGTTTTTACTGGAAAAAACTTTATGCCAACACCTCTCTTACTTAATATATAACTGAGAATTAGAACTTGATGTACTTAAAATAAAGAACATATGGGCCAAAAAGATTTAACAATTTTGCTACAGTGTATGGTAGCTTGTAAGAATTAAGATGTATGGTTGGATCTCATTATTCTCATAAGTACATTTAAAACAAACTTCTCGTATCTTGTTACATTTAACATCATTTATTAACACCAGAATATAAGCAACAACAAAGAATATACATTTTTACACTTTGAAATATATCTTAACAGCTTACCACTGTCAGCATTATTTTCATCTACGACAACTACCATGTTTGAGAGTGAGTTGACCATTTCTTGTTGCTGTTCAGTGTCATTTTGTAGCTTCTAATAATAACAGAAGAAAATACTAAAATTAAAAACATTCCTTAAAGTTTTGTAAAAAGACATAAACAACTTATTCATTAATCCTTCTCAATTTATAGTATTAGATGAGATTACCACATACTGTCAAGACTGTTTAGTAAAATTAATCGTGCAAAAAAAAGGACTATGCACGTTAATTCCTTTTCTGTTTCATACTTATTAACTACTACATGTCAATAAAAAGGCCATTATTAACCATATTATAATGTTCTACAGTCATTGTTATGAAGCCCAGTAGAGGATTCACAGAAAGGATTCACTTTCTTTTAAAATCTTATTGTTAGATTCCTATTACATTGTACTTAACAGAATGTTTATATATATGGTTATAACAACTGTTAACATTATGTGTATTTTTTAGTTGTTTCCTTAACATCACCTTTTTATTACATTAATAATTTGTTAATTGTTTATTTTTATACATAATTATGATTTTGCATAACTTAATCTTATACATATGCACCTATGTATGTTTAAATAATCTTTTTATAAAAACAAAGAATAGTTAAGCCTTAAAATTCACAGCAGTTTACTTTTTGTTTGTCACACAATCTCACACATTGCTGGTCATAGAAAAATGCATATCAAAGAATTACAAGTTTAGATTAACTTTACCACTTAAAAACAAAATCAGATATGACCAGAAATGTTAGAACTTTCAATTTGTAAGGTGATGTCACTCTTACATACCAGTTCAGTTACTGGTACAGATCAATATTCCTTTAGTTAACGAGTTTGAAAATGATAGAACGAGCAAGATGAAACTGTGAACAAACTAAACCTGTAATTACAAAACAAAGGTGGTTCCCGAAGGTCTTATATTTGTTAAGTTTTGGAAATTTGACCAAAATAAAGATGAAAAAAAAAAGAGTAATTTTCTTAATATTTCTGGCACTACTATGTTTTATAGTTAAAACTTTTCATTTCTTTAAAATCATGTGACAATCACAAACATTCTTGAAACTCTGATATATTTTATGAAAATGAAATGATGATAAATTAAAGTTAAATTCAGGATATCCAAAATCTTTACATAATTTCTGTTAGCAGTGTAAGCCTTGAATACAGCTATGTGCAAGCACACAGTCAAATGCAACTTGTTTACTATTTCATTGAAAACTATGAAGGCAAGCCTATGGCAATATATTAAATTTTTTACATGTTATTAGTTGAATAATAAAAAATCTATATTTAAAAACAACATTTTGGCACATTAATATTGCATGCAATGTAGCCAATCAGTACAACAATCAGTATGCTAGCAAATCAATAAGGGCATCATTTAAGGTTTCAGTAGTTCCAAATATAATGGTAGCCTATATATAACGTTTTATAATATTTTTGTGTATAATAAGTGTGTACGAATGGTGACCTCATTAGGGTGAAAGGACATTTATCACTTGCTTCTACATATATTAATCTCATGTGCAAGGGTGAGCACCAAAGTGCCACTCAACATGATATTAGGTATTTGATGTCACAGTTATCAACTATCCATTTTACCCTACATTTCTGTTTTAGCAATAGTTTGTGGTAGAGGAGAGTAAGTATCAAACACAATATACAGGGATACTAAAAAAAACTGTAAATATGCATTTCAGAGGTTATACAAATACAAGATGCAAACTTTATGATTGACAAAAGAATTCCTATTTTCACATGAACATCACCTTGCACTCCAATTTGTCAGTCTCAGTCAGACTTATGTTATCAATTCACAGACATATCTCGAGTACAAATACTTTTGTAACATATGTAAATTTTTGTGTACAACAGACTTGAAAATTTTACTAAAAGCTTGCCACATTTCATGTAGATATACATAGTAATTTTGGAATTATTTTCAACATTTCTGATTCTAAAAACAGCTATAATGTCAAGGATGTCAAGGCAACTAATAATAAGTAATTTAAACACGAGACAGAGTTCCTTAAAAAACCTTTGAAACTTTTCTTCGTCGTGAAACAAAACACAATTTTATCTGTAGAACAATCTAAGCATATTTTGGCTCTAAGGCATATAAAAAAACCTTCCAAGTGTATGTATGTATATACCTTCATTTATGGTGCCTTCTAGCACGGATAAGACAGACTATTCTCCACATAAAATATGTTCCATCCATTCTATTTAATTTATTCTTACACACACACACATACATATATTTAAATTGTTAACTAATGTTTAAAGTTGTTAAAAGGTTATATAAACTACCTGTCAATAAGTTGAGGCCTATGATTCACTCTTCTACCATAAACTAACCAATTAGGCTTAAAGTTAAAATTCCTAAATACTGTTTGTCTTTCACTGTAATGTCTATTCTATTTCCCCTAGTTGTATTAGTGTCTTCACTTTGTGTTGTCTAGAATGACACATGGCTTATGATCATAATTATATTTACAGTCATTTATATTGAGCACTCTAGCGACTGACTTTCCCACGATGCAATAGCATTATGTTGGAAAACTTGTCTCCATGATGATGAGTGTAAACATTCCTGATTGGTTCAAGCAGGTCACATGGAAGTTATTGTTATTCCCCAAATATGTGATGGAAATATATTATGCATGCTTAACCATAATATAACTGAAAGGCATTAATATTAATAAATCAACAAGGCAAACCCATGAATGCTTTTTACTACAGCTAGTTTCCCCTCTTTAGATCAGGAGTCCACTGAAAACATCCTTAGCAAACTAAAATCCATGAATTCACAGAAAAAGCTCATATCTGGTAACAATATATTTCAGACATAAAACAAGTCTCTCTGAATAAAACATTTTATCACTTAATTCTGTAAATAAAAAAATATCATGCAGGAAATGAAAAACTGTCATTTCACCTAATATAGGAAAACTTTATTCTCTTATTAAATTAATTTTTGTAAATGAAAGCAAGTTACTGCATCAATAAATGTAATAATATTAAACAATACCTGGTGTTGTTCAATTTGTCTATGTACAGCGGGTAGATCTGGACCCACTGGACCAAGCCGACTGATCTTGTCTTCCATTTCAGTAAGCCATCGGCGTAAGCTATTGAGCTGCTGCTGTTGTAATTCCATTAGCATTTCATGAAGCCTACAGAGTACAGTTAAATTAGTATACAACTATTCAAGTAAATGGTTTTTATTTATGTTTGAAGGAAAACTCCACATAATAGCTAATCCACCTTACATTAAGCTTTCTGAAAAAAAAAAACAATTAATGTAAGATCAAGAGAATTTTTACATATAATCACATATTCACCAGTTCCATCATGTCTGGTCAGCATGCACCCTTGACCCCATCCCTTACCATTCAGTAACTACTCTTCAACTGAAGGATACTGTTACAGCAGAAGTTCTAACACTTCCCGTGAAAATATTATTCAATGTGAATATGGACACAGTGGTAAAAAATGATGGAAGCAAAACTGAAAAGTTACTTTATTAGCGACATTTCCAGACACCAGTAGAACGTACTTCCCCTTATCCATATGTTACATGGTTCACCCAAACATTGTAAAATGATGAAACCTGGAATCAGCTAATGCTACATAAATACAAAAATTTATACTCTCTAAAAAAACTTCTTTAAATCTGAATACGAGTGGTAGGTAAACACTAGTATCAAAATTTGATGAATGATTCCAATACAACTAATTAACATTTCTGAAAGAGAACAAAAGATGGTGTGAATGTTTGTAGAACACATTACTAGTTTGATAGTAGAGCAAAAACTGATTTGAACTGGCTAGACTGTAGAGAAAATAAGAAAAATTAAAATGTAAACTTCTGCTGAAAACATTTGTATTCACTTAATATATTCTAGAGGTTATGTAAATGACATATGAAAACTACAAGATGAAATGTATTTGTATTCGTAGCATGAAAATCCTCTATGCACTCAAACTGTAGTAGTTATAGTCCGAGTCAAACCGACTTCATAAATAAACCTTTAGTAGAAATAATTTATTAAAAATACTGATTTTTTGACAAATATTTGTATCTTTTACAAAAAGATACACTTAGTAATTTGAAATTACGGTAAACATTGTTATGTATAAAACTTCACAAGAAACAGGGACTGGTGGAAACCACCAACACAGTATCCATATGGTTAACATATTTCATTGAAAACTTCATTTTGACAATTGAACTTTTGATTATAAATCATTAAAAACATGTCAAAAACTGACAAAGATTTATTGGCAACCAAGAAAGTGGTCTTTCAAAATGGCATCACTGTTATTTTTGTCAGCCTAGCTATCCCTAATTTTTGCTAACAATGTTCTTGATTGAGATTAATATATATTAAATTAATTAATAATTATGGTTTGTTTTCATTAAATAACAAGTTACTCTAACAATTAAAGCTTATTATTATCTAATATTTTGACAGTAGAAAGTTTCTGTAATTTTCAAATGGATATAATGTAACACAAAAAGAGTTTCAGGATTTAAAAAAAATCAAAAGAAACTATGAAAATATCTAAAGTCTTCCAAATCTATGGTTTGTTTCCAAGTGTGCAATCTCTTCTCCCCAACCAGTTTTAGCAATTGATGCTAACTTCTTTCAAAGCCAAACTTCATTAATAATTGTTCAGACCATATGCTGTGGCATCATAAGATGTGGCAATGAATGGCTGTTGCAATACAATTACTGACAGAGAAGGTAAGTCACATAAAAATAAGATGTGAATCATTACATTTAAGGACTGATAATTTCTTAACTGATATAAACATATCCTTTGTGATGGTCAGAAAAAAATCTATAAATTCATTGCTTACAGAAGAGACTCCTCTGTGCTAAACAGAAATTAGAGTTGAATTTTTTTCATTTGTATTCATGGATTACACTAAATAAATATCATATAATGACGAAATATCAATTCTAAAATATTTTTGAATAAAAAATAGTTGAAATAAGAGTTAGAATCATATTTTTTTACTTAAATTTTGAAATCTGATATGCAAGTGTGCACTTGACACCTGAAAGGTGCCATGCTGATTGTGAAAGATTTAAAAGAAAATTATAAATTTTAAAAGAATTAATGTATTAATTTAATTGTTGATTTCTCAAAGCTTCTATTATTAAACTGGTAGTTAAACATACATTATTATAACACAACAGACTTTAAAATTATACATGGATTGTAGTGCATAATGCAAACCCTGAGCATTTTATTTGTTCATTTGATTTTACTATCCATATAAATACTCACTTGCTTTGTCGATCCATGGCCTTTATTCGAAGATCTTCCCAACGACTGTTCAAAAGTTCCATCTGGGTTTGAATTTCCTCTCGTTCTTCAGTTGTGACTCTTCCCTTACTAATAATTCGTTGACCTTCTTGTAATACTTCCCCAATATTTATTTGATGCTGAGTTAATTCAAGCATGAATTCCTTGGATGAAAAGTAATGAAAGAGAAATACTATTTATTGGAAATTTAAATTCAAACAAGCGATTTGTCATTTCAGTCTGACCTCAAGACATTCTAATTCTGAAGTTTTATCTGAAGCTAGTTTTTACAAAAAAAAGACTACTGGACTAGCCATTAAAAGATATTCTATATTAATGAGTCAGTGATTTGGGAATGTCCAACTGATGCAAGAAAAATTCCTCATGTGACAGTATTTGGAGATAAGTCTAATTATTACAAACAAAAGACAACCGGGTTAGCCACTTGAAGATACACTAAAACTAACAAAAGATGGTATACTGGTTGATGTTAACAAGAGGCTATATAACACTAGCCAATAGTAAAAAAAATAATGGATTACACACTTGAATATAGACAATATGATGCAAACAAGAAACTATCAGATTAGCTAGTGGTAATAAAAGACTTATGTACTAGTTACTTGATGGCAAAGATACACTTTTAGTTTTATATTTGCTTTTAAATTTAACAATAAATTATTGTGCATCATTAAAAACACTGGAGTCATCAACTGATTTTATTAGAACAGCTAGTGATAACAAACAATTATAAACTAGTCACTTGATGACAGACTAGCTGATGCAAACAAGACTAACAGAATACCTAATGATAACAAGACTATTATGTACTAGTCACTTGATGACAGATTAGTTGAAGCAAACAAGAGACTAACAGAACAGTTAATGATAACAAACAATTATGGACTAGTCACTTGATGACAGACTAGCTGATGCAAACAAGAGACTAACAGAATAGCTAGCGATAACAAATATGATTATGTACTAGTCATTTAATAACATACTAGCTGATGCAAACAAGAGACTAACAGCTAATAGCTAGTTAAAGCAAAGACCATAATGGACTAGTCAGTTGATGACTTTGCTGGAGTGAGCTTTTAAGTTGATACATTTGGTTTTAATGAAATTTTTTAAGGTGCTTATCAGTTAATTTCTATGAATGGAAGTTTTAAGTGATTTAAGTTTCTAGAAAGTTCAACACTTACTTTAAGAAAGTGGAAGATGCAAGTTTTCATGTTTACTTTGTTGAAGTGTAAATGTTTACATGTTTGTCACGTCACTTACTTCGTGAGAGTGGAATAATGACTTAACCTCCTCTACAGATCCCTCGACTGGGCGTTCTTGACTAAGACGTTCCTCAGCCTCTAGTAGCCAAGTTAAAACATCCTCTAAACTTGATTGATAGGTTGACACATCACTCCCACCAAAGCTTGGACGTCCACGAACTGATGACTCCTCAAATGAAATATTAAAAATAAAAGTTTTAAGAGACATCTTTAGACATAGGTTGATAAAATCTATAGCATGAAGCAGCAAAGTTATCCAGGTTACTCTTTTAGAAAACTTATCCAATTGCATATCTGGTTTTGTTCAAGAATGATTGCTTTAGAAATGGAAAGCATGAAGGCCTAAAGTTGCAGTATTTAACTAAATGTTGTCCTTTAGATATTTAATAAATTAAGCTGTATAGTTACCACTACTCTCAACTCTTTGGATATCATAAAACCAATTGCACTTTAATTTTTTAATTAATGCTTTTCTCAATTCTAAAATAAGAATGCTAAGGATTAATTCATATGGCTCTATCTTTCTCAATTTTCTTTGTTGCCTTAGTTGGTGTAGCATGAGTTATCATATAGATATTTAGCCATCTGACTAATATATATAATTAAAAATATTCAAGGAATAATAAAACAATTTTTGTTATTTTGAATAAAATTGACAATTATTGAAATTTTGTATAAGCTAATAAAAATTCAACCAAGTGACACAACGGGACTTATATCTACATAGTACGTGAGAGTGCTCCAGGATATGGATGTGGCACATAATAAAACAAACATCTTACAGCTTAGCAGGTTTTGACGTATACAGAATGCTCCAGGATATGGATGTGGCACATAACAAAGTTAACATCTTACAGCTTAGCAGGTTTTGACGTATACAGAATGCTCCAGGATATGGATGTGGCACATAACAAAGTTAACATCTTACAGCTTAGCAGGTTTTGACGTATACAGAATGCTCCAGGATAT